ATGTCTGCACCAGAGAGGAAATTTCTGGCCCAGGGCTCAGCAATGGTGGACCCGTAGCTCTAAGATGGATCCTTTCCAGTCTTTTCTCTTCTCTCCTTAGGAAGTTCTGGGTATATGACATAACCTCTAGACAGTGAGTCGATGGGTGTGGGGGCCATGGTTGCATTACTGAATATTCGGGATCTTTAGAGATATCCCTGTTGTAGTAGAGAGAATACTACAGGGTTAGAGTCAGGGAGAACTAAGCCTAAATCCAGGTTCCAGAATTCCCTGCCTTTGATCAATATAACCTACACAGCCTCCATTCCCCTCCCCTGTATGCAGGGGCAGTACTTCCCACGTAGCAGGTTGGTCCTGATGGTCAGTGATCATACAGCAGGGGCTCAACTCTTGTTCCTGTTCCCAGGGTCACCAGTGCAGAGTTCCTGAGCAAAAACAACAAACTTAAAACCACAGGTAGGAACTGTAAACCTGTATTATCAACTACACTTAAGGTTAATTCTTAGTAGTAATTCAGTATTTTCCTCCTTGGCACTTGTAATGTTTTAACACCAAATGATCTCCCGTTGTCCCCTCATGCCCTTAAAACATGGTTCTCTTGGGCCAACCAGTGACATGGTGGTTAAGGTGGCTGTATGTCACGTGGCTGACTGCCTCTTACCTTTCTCAAGTCCTGGTCCCTGCAACTTGAGAAACAGCCGACTGCATGTGCATGTCCAAAATCCTGAGAGATGAATAGAGGAAAAGGGATTGCAGCGTGGTCATTGCCCCCCACCTTCAGTGGTTTCTCACTTTTCCTCTCTCTCTTTCTTCTCTCTCTCTTTCTTCTCTCTCTCTTTCTATCTCTTTCTGGCTGGCTCACACACTCTATAACAACATAGTCCTCTTTCTCCTCCCTGAAAGGACCACTGTTAGTCATGGGAGGAGCAGAGTCAGCTTTCAGAAAATTCTTTCTGAATTTCTGCTCCAGAGAGGAAATTTCTGGCCCAGGGCTCAGCAATGGTGGACCCATAGCTCTAAGATGGATCCTTTCCCAGTCTTTTCTCTTCTCTCCTTAGGAAGTTCTGGGGATATGACATAACCTCTAGACAGTGAGTGGATGTGTATAGGGGCTATGGTTGCATTACTGAAAATTTGGGGTCTTTAGAGACACCCCTGTTGTAGTAGAGAGAGCACTACAGGGTTAGAGTCAGGGAGAACTAAGCCTAAATCCAGGTTCCAGAATTCCCTGCCTTTGATCAATATAACCTCCACAGCCTCCATTCCCCTCCCCTGTATGTAGGAGCAGTACTTCCCACGTAGCAGGTTGGTCCTGATGGTCAGTGATCATACAGCAGGGGCTCAACTCTTGTTCATGTTCCCAGGGTCACCAGTGCAGAGTTCCTGAGCATGAATTCAACCATCCCAGCCTGGGGGGTGACATTCACACCAAGGAATGGAAATGACCGGGACTTTCCTCCGACTTCTAACATGAAGACCTGGATCTTCAACTTGTTGACCGTCATTATCGGGCTGATTGGGCTGGCTGGAAATGCAGTTGTGCTCTGGCTCCTGGGTTTCCGCATGCGTCGAAATGCCTTCTCCGTCTACATCCTCAACCTGGCCGGGGCCGACTTCCTCTTACTCTGCACCTATGTTGTATATTCCTTGCTGGAACTCATGAACATCTTCGTTCCCAACATCATCTACCACATCGTCTTCATGACTGTGACAATCTCCTCCTACATTGCAGGTCTGAGCATTCTCAGCGCCATTAGCACCGAGCGCTGCCTGTCGGTCCTGTGCCCCATCTGGTACCGCTGCCGCCGCCCAAGACACCTATCAGCTGTCATGTGTGCCCTGCTCTGGGCTCTGTCTCTGCTGATGAACATCTTCATCGGGTCCCACTGTCGTTTCCTATTTATGATTCATGGCTACTATCAATGTACGGCATTTTATTTCATCATACCTACATGGCTCATTTTTTTGTTTGTGGTTCTCTCTGGCTCCAGCCTGACTGTGCTGGCCAGATTCCTGTGTGGCTCCCGGAAGATGCCACTGACCAGGCTGTATGTGACCATCCTGGTCACCATGCTGGTCTACCTCCTCTGTGCTCTGCCCCCCGGCATTGTGTGGTTTGGCTCATTCTGGGTTGACATTCATTTTGACAGAACTGAGATCATCCTGTCTGTCATTAACAGCAGAGCCAACCCCATCATTTACTTCTTTGTTGGGTCCTGGAGGCGGCAGCAGCGGCAAGGTCAGCCGAGGCAGTCCCTCAAGTTGGTTCTCCAGAATGCATTAGAGGACAAAGCTGAGGTGTGGGACAGTAAAGGAGGTCTTCCTCCAGAGACTAGGGGGAGCTCAGGAAGCAGTGTCATGTAATGATTCTGTTCCAGAGTAAGTGCTATATACATATTGTTTAAGGTCAAACTCCAAGGCGTAGACTGAGATAGAGAGATTGACAAGGAGATATAGGAATCATGGGCGTTTTACCTTAACACATTTCTGAGTCCTGGCTATATTGTCTCCATATCACTGTTACGTGTTTGATTCTGGACTTGCAAGTGTTCAGGGCAAGCAGGAACCCAGGAGGATGAGCTAAGACCCATGAAACAGAACCCTTGTCAGGATCTCTCAGTGCCTACAACTTTGATAGCGTGGGAATTCTACAGGAGTCCTTCATCGTGGAGCTAAACACACACCTGGTGCAGAGTTCACAGAAGCTGAGCGAGTGTCCTAGGGAAGGTGGAGCAGCTGGAGGCCAGCCACTGGTTCATGCCAACGAGGTGAACAACAGGAAGCAACATGCATGATCATCCCCATAACCCTGCACCAAGCTTCCATGCATAAAATCAGTATAGATCCTAATATAAACTAACATATCAATATTTGCTTTTTATAGTTTTTGTTTCTAATAAAAAAATCTTCTGAAAAATCTATTAATGCTCACCCTCATCAGAGAATTGAAAGGAAGGGGATTTTGGAAATGTAAGTTCAGCTTAGAAAGTGAATACATTTTTTTTATAGCCCATAGCTTAGTTTATTTTTAACACCCATCATACTATGAATTCATAGGGAATAGGTCCCAGAAGCTCAGGCTCCTTTCCACTGGTTCTCACACAGTGGCTTCTCTGGGTGGAGCAGGCTGGCACTTCAGTTGAACCCA